TGGTTATTAAAAGAGATGACTCTATTAAAAACAAGGGAAAATTCTAGGTTAGTACCCTATACTTTAGGCCTAGTGTCCCTTTAGTCCCCGAACTTCAAAACATGCCAATCTAGTACCTAAACTTTTAAAGCCTGACCAATTTAGTACCTGCCATCAATTATGTATATCATGTGACATCATATGCACTTAAATATTTTGAAAATAACAAAACTACCCTTCAAAATAATTATTTTAGGGTGGCAAAACTCTGGATCTCCTGCCCACTAAGAACTCTACCGATGTCTACCCACAACACACTATCCCCGTGCATATAGGAGGATAAGATGTTCTCCATGTGTGGCTGCGATGTTATATGGGTAGACGTGGGTAGGAGATCCGGACTCAGCAAAACTACCGAAACGGTGCTACGCCCTCATCCCCTCTCCAAACCTTTCCACATCCACACGGGGCACAAATAAGGGTGTCAATGGACCGGTTTTGGATTGGACCCTGTCTAGTCCAAAATCAATTTGGATGAATTGGATGGACCAACAAGACATATTGGATTGGACCAATCTGGTCCAAAATATTTATTAGATTAGATTGGGCCTGGTCCGTCTGTAACAAATTTATATTAGATTGGGTTGGATTAAGCCAATATCTGATCCATTGATATAAGATAAGAATATGTGTCAATGGATCGGACTGGGCTGAAACCAATCTAAATCAAAATGAATTTGAACAGATTGAACGGTCCAGATATTAAATTGGACTGGTCCAAATTGATCCAAAACATTCATTGGATTGGATTGGACCTGGTGTTTACAATGGAATCACAGCCTCACGGCCGGAGTGTCTTCTTTCAGCTTCCCTCTCCATAATAAACGTTTTTTTTTTCCCTTTAATTTATAATTTTTTAATATTTCTTTAATTCTTCTCGAGTTTTCGGATATGTGCTTAATGGAATTAACCTCCACCGTTGTACATGTTATCAAGATGTCACGTGTATCAAGATCATCGTTTGAAAGTTGGACGATTACGGCTACCGATTTAAATTTGGTAGGGGGCGACAGGCAGGATTCACTCCTCTCTCCTTTCAAAACAAAGAAAGACTAGGCGTGCCACTATGATACCGAAAAATACATGACATTTGACATCCGAAAAGCAGAACATGGGTTTTGTACTCTTTCCATTTATTCATTTGAAGACATGGTGAAGACGATATAAATTCAGATTTTGTCTTCAAATCCAAGTTATAACCAACCATCAGCTGGTTTTCGTGATATTTGATTGGGTTTGTCATTGAAGCATAGGTGAAGGAAAGTTGGTGCTAAATCGATGGTTTTTATTTATTTGGAATTGGAGGGGATGGAATGCAGAGTCCAGGTTGCTCAACTCTTACCCCAGGAGGGTGCTCGAATCAATGCTGCTTATTTGTATAAAATGTTGAAGTCTATGGATCAATTTGTCCACTCCATCACGACTGAAGATGTAAGAGTTGATGAGCACGTCATTAAGCCTAACGATTTCCAAACGTTGGTTTACTTAATTCTGAAGAAAAGGAAAGAAATCTAAAAGAAGGTGACCTTCCTTAGTTTGACTGGCAAGTGGCAAAGGAAATATATAAGAAAAAATATTGTTAAGATAAAATGGGAAAGTACGTTTTGACCCCCAAAAAAAAGGAAAGTATATATTTTCCATTTGACATCACTTGTCCCCTCCAATAATAGAGCAGGAGGAAGTGAAATTCCATGAAAATGCGAATTTGCCGCAAGTCAGATTAATTAAACAATTATATTTCATTAAGACTACATGACCTTTTTTTTTTTTTTAAAAAAAAAAAAAATTATGCTAAGCGATGTCCCAATAACATATTCTATTTTTTGGCTACCCTAAAATATATTCATTCCACCAAATGCCCAATTAATCAAGCTATTCTATACCAAGTTTAAAGGAAAAGAAAGACGTGAATAATGTAATCGTCTATTTGCTAATTTGGAGGAGAGTGAAAGAGAAACAAGTAGTAAAAATTTTGTGATTGTGGGATGTTTGCTTAATGGTTCATTTTTAGGTCGTAGATTTCAGGAAACTGGCAGCACTTTTAGGGTTGATATAGGAATAGGATGACCTTATTGGTTTGCGTAAGGAAGGAAAGAAAACCATGGTTTTCAAAATCTGACCGAAAAAACCAAGAACCGGTCAAGTGACCGGTTCCGTTTCCCCCAAAAACCGGACTCCCCCCCCCAAAACCGTTGATTTTGGTCAGCATACCGCTGAACTGGGCGGTTAATCGTTCGAATGCTTTTGACTGTTTTTAATTTTTTTTTTATATCTTTGTCAGAACGGGCTAAGCATTTGGTTCAAACGGTCAGACCGTTCGACCCAGTAACCAGACCCTTGACCGGTTCGGTTTTAAAAACCATGAAGAAAACTCTTCCAAAACACCTTTCTTGCTGCCGAAATTGTAGTTGGCCTTGGCCATGTAAGACCGATGACGAAAATCAAATGAGGCCAAATTGTGACTTGGGGGCAAGGTTCAAAATATCGATATGCCCGACACGCCAATAGGGGCGTATCGGGCATTTTGATACTTGTTTTTTTATTTTTTTTTCAAAACTGATTCAGGGGAGCCGGTCTAGGATCCCTCCATCCCCTGAATTGGTCAGACCCCCGATACACCCATTGTAAGGGCGTATCAGAAGGGTCTCAAAATGATACACATCGGCCAATACGAGCCAATACGTAACGATACTTTGAACCTTGCTTGAGGGGCAAAGAGGCTTTTTTTTTTTATTCGGCTTTGGTTGGTTGCATTTAACGAACGTTAAGGAAAACAATAAATGATTTACTTAAATTGTTTTTTCATAATATTTGGCTGCATTTATAATGGCCGTTAGAATTTAGAAATGAACATATCTTTTGGCAAAATCTGTAATGCAATAGAATAAAAAAAAACATGAACCAGTGAGTGATAAAGCTAGTTGACATCTTTTAATGTTATATATACACTTTCTGACCTTGTGGAAGGTGAACTAACAAAAAATAATTAGACTATGTGACTTTTTCAATATGATTGGTTGAAATCTAAATTTAATGTATTGTAAACATTGATTAATTGGGCTAATAAATTATATAGAAATGTAATTCCTTCCAACTATCAAAAGCAGAGCTCTTCTATTACACTTGAATATTTTTTCAACTATTCAAAGTTTCAGTTTCCAAATTGAGTGAAACACTAAGAAAATTAGGAATATCATTTACTTGTCAAGGAAACGATAGGTTAATTTTTCTTCATTCTGAGTGCAACCAGGTGCAGCTTTTTTTGTCGTCTTGATCACCTAATTTGACTAATATTAATTAATAAAGCCCAGTTGTGAAAATAAGGTGGAAAATAGTAATTTGCATGCCATCCCGGAAATTTAAAGGACCACAGATCAAAAAAGAAAAAAAAAATAACAATTAACCACTAATTAGTTGAATCTAAATTCCATGCTGCAATCCCACGCTTTGTAATTTTAGAAGGAATTAACTATAAATGTTTTCTTCGTTTTCTTAAGATTACAGGTTTGGTAATTTTGCCATATATTACTTTATTTATTGCCATAATTCAAATAAATGTTTAAAAAAATTAGTAATTTTCTTCTTAAACCAGAAGTGTAGAAGACTAGAACTACAAAGGAGAAGGCTATTATTGGCTATTATTGTGCAAGTTGACAATAAATTTTGGAGATTATGATGTTGAGCATATCAATATAGCATCAAAGATCAAGATCACAAATAGTAGAATGCAATATCTATGATTCTAAAACGAATACCAAGTTGGGTTTTAGGGCTCGTTTTTTGGATTTAGAGAGAGGGAAAGTTGGTTAATGGGATTTTGATTCCCACTGGTCAAGATATCCATGCTCTTTTTTTAGATTTATGTAGGGTTCATGAAAAATTTATTCTCCTTAGGTATCACTTACCTATACCCATTTTCCATGTGGATAAGTAACTTTCCTCATGGTTTTTAAAACCGAACTGATTAGGGGTCTGGTTCCTAGGTCGAACGGCCTGACCGTTCGAACCAAATGAACAGCTCATTCTAATAATAAATAAAAAATAAAATAAAATAAAAATCAGCCAAACCATTGAACAGTTCGACCGTCCAGGTTTATTGACCAAATCAACAGTTTTTGAGAAATAACAGTTCTGGGGTAAAACAAAACCGGTCACCTAACCGATTCCTGGCTTTTCCAATCCAACCATCCAGTCCAGTTTGGTTTTGAAAATGATGCTAATCAATATAAATTGGTGAGACATGCGGTTAATCACATTACATGATACACTTCAGCTAAAATGATATTGCAGTATTATCTAAAGCATCAATTTAACGTTTATCCAAACAGCTTCCCATACATGCCATTTTTCCGTATTTTTTAGGTATAACTGTTTCAACTATAAACAGCTTATGCCAATTTTATTGATCAACCCAAAAGGTTTCATTTCAGATATCAGCAATGTTATAAACCTTTTGCACAATTCGGATCAGGTAGGCACCACGTTGTAAGCACATTAAATGAACACTTACAAAATTTTTGACACCTGTCCCTTAAAATACCTCAGCCTAATACCCACTTTTGATAATTGTCAAAATATTTATTAAGTTCTCATTTAACTGCTTACTTTTAAGGTTAAAAGCCGTGTAATCCACGTTAAAATTAAAACGATTCCTTGTTTCAAAACCTACCTTTCCAAGGATTGAGAGACGAGCCAAGCTTTGGGAACTTAAATTCAGTCTTGGCTTCGATCATCTTAGCACTATTCGGCAATGCCCAATAAAACAGACACGATCACCACTTGCTTTATATTCAAAACACCGGGTAAACTGCCTTCTGGTTGCATCAACAGTGTCTGTATTTTATTGGATTCTTCGGCTGTAGGTTTGCAGTTGATGTGATCTCACGTTTTTGAAATGTGACGCCTCAGTTTATCATCCTCAAACAGTATGATGGCAAAACAGTTTGAGATTATCCAACACATTCCGTGATACTCAGAATCCATTTAATAGTTCAATGTACAATCCCGATTTCTCAACAATAGGTTTTCTTTTTGGTAAAAAATTCTCAACAATAGGTTAAACCTATGTCTGAATGTTGGGAAGTGCCGTCAAAGCTTCGCTGCAATCTGCAGCCACCGGCTTGACACTCCGATCTTACAACTTGACAAGATTATGTCATATAAGGAGAGTGCACAGCATAAAAGTTCAACTAGAACTGAAACAGAAGACACATCCCAGAAATCAAAGACAAAAAATAATCTATGCTTTTATCTAAATGGAAAATTTTAGAGAAAAATAAAGTGTTACATCAATACAAGTTTACAACCTAATGAATACCTTTCTTTTCATCCCCCTTCTTTTTTGCCATTATGGCTTGAATCAAAAGTACATGGTCCACCTGCAAGGTAACAAGCCTTGAACAGTTTTGATGGCTTACTCAGATTGGTATTGTATATTTGTACGTATAGACTGATCAGTGATCAGTCTTTTATTCAACATAGGCTTGGGTAGAAGGCTGCTGACGTTTTAAAAGCAGCGAGTTCTTCAATGACCTTCACAGACTTCCCTTGTGTCGCATTCTCTTGCATATTGGTATTGCAGCCCCACAAACGAATCACAAGTCTCCTACACTTTGGGGACGATAATCTCAAATACCTATTGTACCAGTCAATAACATCACTCTTTTTTATGCTTCTGAGTTCCTCTGCCTCCTTTGCTGACATATCAAACAAGTACCTGCAGTTAAAGTGTTTTTGAGTTGCATAAAGCACAAATTTCTCAAGCAAATTATGAAATGACAACATCCAGAATTTTATAGTTTATCACCTTCTGATCAGGCTAGGCTGGTCTTCAGCATATAAAATCTACAAAGTGGGAACACTTTTGAATGTCTTGCATGTAGACCAAGGCAAGAAATTCAATTTCCTAAATTTTTCTTTTGACCGATTACAACTTCTTAGACTTTTAATCGAATAAAACAAAAAGCTTTGACGTGGCCGTGGCAGCCATATGTTAAAACTGAAAAAGCAGAAAAGCTACCAAATAATTGAATAAAAAATAAAGATCACTTGAGTAATGCATTTAAACAATTATCAGCTCTTGTGACACTCAAAGAGAAATGCCAGGGCTTTAACCCACAGTAGTAAAATAATTCAAGTCGGGTGGGAACAGGGCAAGCTGAAAATCTCTATTGGACAGTTTACTGGTATTAAGGCATTTCTTATTAAATCTATCTGTGCAGTTGCAATTACTAAACCTTAAACTACATAGTCATTGTTAAGTGGCAAGGAATGAGAAAATGAGATCAGAGCTACTATTCAAATGATCTAAAGCAACTACAAGATTTAGGCAAGTTATTACCATCACATCTAGAACTCCTTGGACAACCAATAGAAAGTAAACAAACATCAAGTTCAAAATTTATCCCCCGTGTATGTGCATCTATTATATTGACTTTTAATTGCAGATATTCCTCAAGATTCATCATCTAATGCATGTGCACTAGACACCCAATATTCCATTTACATATGGTAATTCTGTCCATGTTAACAAAGATGTGTACTCAGCAATACCTCTTATCCACGATCTGACCCCAGAGATGATTGGTTTCATATGCAAGTGATGGGTCCTTTTCCAATTTCTTTGCTATCAATCCACTTCTATAATTCTCAAAGGCTTCATCATCAATTTTATCCTGTAGTGACCAAAGACTAGTTAGAAAAGAATTGCCTGTGCATCCATGACTTTGTGTTTAAACTTTAAATGTGTAATTTGACATGTGATGGTTTGGAAATTATCTAACTAATCCTAAATCATACAATTGCTACATGCAAAAAAAAAAAAAAAAAAAAAGAAAGGTTAGCAATTCAGCAGAACTCTGTCTTTGACAAATGCATCAAACCTGTTGTGCAAAGACAACAGATGGCACTATTTATAATAGTAACACACCAAATTAAAGGTAAAGTAAATGTAAGGGTACTTCTATTTTCAAAAGAGTACCCTTTGCCTATTAATTATAGGTGTACTCTCTATACCAGAAATTAGCCCAAATTACCACCCTATAAAGTAGGAAAAACTTTGGCTGTTTGTAAAAAACAGCCTAGGCTGTTTTGGGAGACTGCTATGAATGACATCTCATAATAGTGTGAGTAAAATAGTATTTACACTCGATACTTTTTTAGTTGAAAAGACAAATGAGGACCTGAATTAGCTAAGGTGCCATGTGTAGAGGCTCCCTAAACAGCCCAGGCTGTTTTTTTCCAAACAGCCAAAGTGATCTCTATAAAGTATTCTTCCAGGCCCAACATCAGGATGAAAAATCATATAAAAGGTGATCTGTCACATGTGCAACAAATGGAGGACATTGTGAGCCATCCTTAAAGAGAGCCTGCTCAGAACTCAACTCCAAAAACTAACATATCTCGATCATCATATCCAACAACTTTACTCTTTTTTGTTCAGGGTCATTTCCCAAGTTGTTTATCCACATAAACAAACACGTAATCTGAGAGATTTGAAGGTTAGGGTCATCTAATTTAAATTCAGTCTAAGCCAAAAAGATCCCTCAGGTTTGGACATTTTCAACTGTGTGCCCCCAATGTCACCCAGGTATATACAATGACCACTGAAGTACACCTTAGATTTTCTAATTGAACAACGTAAGAGGGTTGTTTATTTATTTATTATTAGTGGGTGGGAAAATTGATACAAGTATCCAGAAGCCCAGAGCGACTACCAGCTGAATTTTACCAACAGGTAAAGAAACCCGGATGCGTACCAGTAACTCCTGCAAACCATCTATGAAACTGTCAATTCTCTCCTGCAAGTAGAGTGGACTATACTTGGATGATTGGACACAGAAGCAAAATCCCAATACACAGTAAGTTATCCGTGGGCTACACTCAACAACATATCCAAGCTGCTCCTTGGTCCTATATCCACACAAAGAACATTGCAAACAAATCAGATAATAGCCTAAGCCTAACCTGGGATAGATATAGATCCAAACCATAGTTTTCAAAGCATACACCAACAACTATATCAATTGAAAAGTAGCAATGGTAAATGTTTAAAACATAGCATCTTAAATAAGCTAATTGCAATAGTTCAAACATAATATTACAATATCTAATAGAGCAATTGCATGTCAAGAAACTATTAGCAGCTGAAGGAAGCTTTAACTTTTAGAGAGAGGGTTATTACAATTCTGTTAAATAAGAGAGAGAGAGAGAATAATTGCAGAAAAAAGAAGGAAATGAAGAGAACTGTCACTTTTGCCCTTCTCTTCTTCTCTATAAACCCCTTGGATCCTTTACGTTTCAATAATCAAACCCTAAAACAACGCATATAAGCAATATATATTGTATTGATGCTTCACAAGCATGCATGCATGTATAGATTCTTTTCAAGTAAAAGGGCCATTACTGGCATTTTTGCAGAAAATGGCTGCTTGGACACAAACCTAAATTACCACGCTTGTCAGCTCAAGATTTCACGGTTTTCACCATTAAACCAAGCCATGGCCTCCTCAAATCTCTTGTTTTCAACTACTGTTTTCAACTATTATTTTCATAATCTGAAGTAAAGCATGTTATAAATAAATCATATGATGCATGCAATGAGACATTGACAGACATATTGCCCTTGTTACAAAGTATTAAATGGTGTCCCTCCAATCAAAACACTCTCAGATGTTAGATTTCTCTAACCAAAGATTGCATCACCTTAGTTGGTCAAACAATGGTTCTTCTATTATATCATCAAATAGATCTGCCAATGCTCTCAATCTGGTAGCCTCCACCCCAACATCTTGCTCAATTTGAAAATAAAGCTGCCAGGGAAAATTTAAATCAGTAACAAGAGATGAAGTATGTTATCATGAGGCAAAGGACCTAAAAGATTAAAAAGGTAAACCAAATCCAATTACCTCAACCACGGAATTGGTTTCCAATTTATTCTTGACAGGTACATCCCTAACAAAGTTGGCACCAGAGGGAAAACATATAACACGCTCTTCATGCCACATTTCCACTGGCAGAGGCACAGTAAAGTTTTTTCTGAAGATATCCATAATATTGATTGCTTCTTCTTCCGTTAAGTTGCCATGGCAAAGGCCCTCAATGTGCAACTATTCAGATTCAGATTAAAGGTAATTACAAAATAGTCCAGAGCAGGAACTGAAGAAGAAATAAATTTGTTAAGACAACTAAGGTTCTGACATGCATAGACTGCAAGTGGTATCTGTTTATCTGAATTTGAAATCAAATTTGATCCATTTATAATTGGATCGAAATGGATTCACCCCTATCTGATCTGATATGATCCAGTTTGGTTCAAGTAAAATGTACATGCTTATAATATATACCTAAAATGTGCCTTAGCCAACCTAGCCATTTATTTTCTCTGTCTTCCATATCCCTAGATTAGTTGCTAAGAGGATGGTTTAAAATGACCATATATTTCCCAATATTTCTAGGACATTTCCATTTCCATGAATACCAACATGAAAAATTACTGGAACCAATGAAACTACTGGTGCTATGTGGAGTTCGAGAGACTACCACTTTGAGCCAGCCAGCTGAAAATTCTTTTCAAACATTAAGTTAAACCTTAGTTTTTATTGTGTAATAAATTATTTGGTTGATCTATTAGAATTATTTGCACTTTCAATGTGTTTAAAATTTGCTTGAACTTGCTCTATAATGTAGTCCCAACTCTTTTTGTTTTTTCGTTTTTTCTTTTTTTTTTGGGGGGGGGGTGAAGGTTAGTTTTGATTCTTAAAGTTTGTAAGGCAACTTCATAGCATATTATTTTTTATCTATTATAATATTAGTTTCTTAGCTTTGTTTGATGATTTGGGAAAAAGATAATAATTTAATGGTCTAATTATGCATCTTTTTATCATTACATAAAACAGTATTCTATATTTTTGCAATTTCACAATGTTTCCACAATGTCTATAATTAATTTCCATATGACTTTTCTGACATTTCTGAACTTAAGAGAAGGGAGTCTAGGGCTGGGAAGATCGCTCATAGAAACTCATCACTCCTAGGAAAAAAGCTGTGGAGGTACTCTAAGGAACCTGATAAGCTCTACCATACAGTCATTAAGGGCATACATGGCTATAGAGACAAACGGTTGGGAAGGGGGCTTGCATGCAAGAGCAACTTTGTCAACTGCATGGAAATCCATTCATTACATTATTCCTTCTTTCCTACACTTTATAAGGTATGATGTCCTTTCTGGCAATAAAACCATACTTTGGCTAGACCTTTGGTAGCTAGATATTATATTAAAAGACAAATACCCTTCTCTTTTTTTCCATCCTTAAGTTTGATTGCCTTGTCTCTGTTGCTTATCATTATCTCCTCATGGATTATCGTGGGATCTGGGTTTGAGATGGGGTCTTAGTTATTGTAGAATTTGGAGATTTTGGCTCTTCTTGAATCATCAGGGATGTCATTTGAATCCATCAAAACAAAATTCTAGAATAAGGACTCTTAACCCATCTAACTCCTTCACTTGTGCATCTTATTTCGTGGGATTTTGATCAGATCCTTCCCTCATTCCTTTCTGCCCAGTTAAAACCAATTGGAGAAGATCAGTACCACCTATAGTTTGAGCTTTTTTCTTGAGAGGTCTATTACAATAAAATTAACACACTGGAAAATTTACCAAGGAAAAGACTTTCCTGGTGTTTATCTCCACACATGTGCCTCATGTGCAATGCTTATGGGGAAAATCCTTTGCATCTACTAATCCACTGTAGGTTTGGGATGGCTATCAGGAGCCTTGTTTTTTTCTTTTGTTGCTTGGATGCAGGACAAGGCCACAAGCTGATCTGAAACAAAGAGAGGCAGGATGTTGTGGAGGTGTGCAAGGGAATGTACTTTATGGTGTGGGTGGGAAGAAAGTAGTAACCACAATTTGAATGATAAGGAAAATGGCCTAAGCACAACCATTGACAAAACTTCCATCAAAGTGGCACAATGGGTTAGGACTGTAGACTTGTTTGTCCCTTTTAAGATTGAGGACATTATCTGAAATTGGAGGGAAGTGGCTGATTTTACTTCGAATTGGAAGCTATGTTTGCAGGTCTAAAAAAGGTAAAAGAAATGAGATACAATAAGTTAATAGTAGAAGATTTATCAAAAAAAAAAGTTAATAGTAGAAGGAAACTCCAATGTCAAAACAGGCTGGCTGGGAAGTAATGAGGATTGGGAGCAGTCTTTCAATGAACACCTAGGTCTGCGAACAGCTTTGCAGACAGGCTGACAAAACAGCAGGTAACTCGATGTATTGGGGAATAGTACAGCAAGGGTAACTTGTACTTTTTTATCAGCAGAAAATATATTTTATTTTATTATATTTGATTAACAGAAATTAGTACAACTTGGTGATGGGAGTGCCATTCCCATCAAGTTACATAGAAGCCAAAAATAGTACCTGCTTCAAAGCCCCTTGTTTGGCAAGGGAACCAGCTAACCCATTTGCACTCCTGACCCACTTGAAATCAACCTCTATATCCTTTGCAATCTTTTCCACTTCACTATCACATGTTTAAGAGTCCAAGGAGTATGTCTATTGTAACTTGCCCATGAAATGACTACTTTTGAGCCTCCTTCCACCACAATTTGCCTAAATCCCAACTGCTTTGCTAGCCAGAGACCTTGTAGCAAAGCCAAGAGTTCAGCCTTCAAGCAATTTACCATAGCAATTGGCCCTAAAAACAATGCCAAAATCCTCCTTTCTGAATTTTTGATTACCCCTATTCCTGCCAAACCTGGGTTGCCAAGGGAGCTCCCATCAAAGTTCAATTTGATTTTGTTTCCTTCTGGAGGTTACCAATCCACTCTTGCTTTGTCTTTTCTCTTGAAGACTGCTACTTCACCCCAAGCTCTTAGGAAATCAGTGACTGAGAAATCTTGGAAGCTGTCCAATGTTTTTATCCAATGTGCTACCTTCAACTTTATGTTGTTTATCAATTCCTCTAGTGTTCTTCTTTTTTCTAAGAAGATTCTATCATTCCTTTCTTCCCAAACCACCTAACAAATTGCTACCTTTATAGCTCTCCAATGCACTGTCCCTCTTTTCTTTGGTTGCCTCAAGAAGTTAGGATTGAAAAGCAAGGTGCCAACCAGCTGGTTGGTAAGGTCTCCTGCTGGTCGTTGTGGAGACTTGGGAGTGAATTCTGCCTGCACCTGGGTTGGGGGATGGACTACCCACCACATCTTGAGGGGGAGACCTGCATCCAAAAAGAGAATAGAAAAACTCCCAAATTCAATGCACAGAGGTACATGAGAATAATAAATGAGATAGAGTCTCACCACTTTGCTTACATAAGAAGCACAAGGAGAAAAGCAAGCATAAGGCTTTCTACTCTTCAGCATATCACAAGTATTTACCTTATCAAGGAAGATTTCCTAGCAGAGAGCTTGAATTTTAAGTGGGATAGGCTTACTCCAAATTTCTTTCAACGGGAGGTCCACTACTCGGGATTTAGACAAGGCAAGGACTTAGAAAAAAGAGGAACAAGTGAAGAGACCATCTAAAGAATCTAACCAAATTCTAGGGTCCTCAAGGGAAGGGTCCAAATATACTTGCCCTTACAAGTACAGTAAGTGGACCAAGGAAGAACATTCATTTTCCTTTAAATCTCTTTTGAAGCCCAAGTTCCAATTTAAACCGGTTGGAAAAGCTATTCCTAAACTAGAAATAGTTTCCCCCTTAAAGTTAGAAAGAGCAAAGAGTTCAGGAAATTGGTCTTTGAGCAGACTTTCCCTACCCATAGATCTTCCCAGAAATGTACTATATCACCCCTTCCCACATCAAACCCGATGGAGTTAATGAAGGTAGGGTAGACATCATGAATTACTTTCTAGGGAGAAGCTGAAGAGGAGTGACGAGCAACTTCAGCATCCCAGCCATTACCTTTCAACCCATGAATGCCTTCTATTACCTTGTGCCATAGTTTGTTACTCTCAAAAGGGAATCTCAGCAACCACTTGCCTAGTAAAGCAGTGTTTCTAGAGACAAGGTTTTTTTTTCATTTGATCAGCAAAGAAAAGCTATTTTATTAAAGAGTGAGGAACAAGAGCCAAATTACAATACAGCCAATATGTCAACAAAAAACAGATTACAATTGTGCCGAAAACATCTGTGACCTATGGACCCCCTGCTTAACTAATGAGTCAGCCATTCCATTTGCAGTCCTTCTGATCCAAGTGAATGAGCATTGAGTTCCCTTGCCAGACTTTCTATCTCTCTGAGGGTGTGTCTATATCTAGGGACCATTACACCTTGTGGTAGTCCAAGTGATAACCAGTTTTGGATCCCCTTCAACCTCCAGATTTTGCAAGTTTGCTTGCTTAACAAGTTTTAGACCTTGTAACAGCGCTAGCAGCTCAGACTTAATTGAATCTTCTACCCCTAGAGGACCTGGATACATTGCCAATACCTTCTGTGAAGAATCTCTAAATACACCACCTATGCCTGCCAGTCCCGGGTTTCCTAAGGAGCTACCATCAAAGTTCAGCTTGACATTGTTGCCAACTGGAGGCTTCCACTCCATTACATTTTTTATCTTTCCCTTTAGAAGAGTGTGCTACTTCATTCCATGCTCTTGTTATATCAGTCACTGAAAAGCTTTGAAAGAGCTCCAGTGTTTTTAGCCAGTGTGCAACCTTTATCTTTATGGCATCCACAATTTCTTCCTTTGACCTCTGTTTTTCTTTGAAAATCCTTGCATTTCTTTCCTCCCATGCAGTCCACACCACCACTGCCCTAACTGCTTTCCACATAACCCTTCCTCTTTTTGTCAACTTGTTCTCTCTATGGTTGCAGGTGGATTTCTCCTCAGGGTGTAGTGAGTTTCTAGAGACAAGGTTTCCTAACCCTATTCCCCATTTTTCCTTAGGTTTGCTAACTTGTTCCCATTTAACCAGGTGATCCTTTTTTTTCCTCTCCCGGTTCCCAAAAAAGTCCCTCATGTATTTCTCTAGTAGTCCTACTACCTTAGTCAAGATTCGGAAGGTAAATAGGAAATAAATGGGATGGTTTGCTAGTGTGGTTCTAATCAAGGTTATTCTTCCACCCTTGGAGATATAATTACGCTTCCAAAGGGCTAGTTTCCTAGCAAACCTTTCTACAATTGGCTTCCAAAACTCATCTGACCTAGGATTCCCTTCGAAAGGCAATCCCAAGTAACTAATAGGCCAGCTCCTGAACTCACACCCCAAAATCTCAACAAACCTCAGGAGTTCCCCTTCTTTTTTTTTTTTCTTGATAAATGAGTAAAAGTTTTATTAATCCAACAGATAAGAGTTACAAGCAATGCAAGGAAAGGCACGAGATGCGACATTTTCTTTCAGATTGATCACCGAATTATAAATTCAAATGAACAAAGTACAAGGTAGACCAAAATAAAGAATTCCAAGAAACCCCTTGTTTAGCAAGTGAGTTAGCCATCGAGTTTGCTGATTTGCCTAACCACTGGACTCTTAATTGTCATATTCCTTGTTAGCCACTTGACTTTTTTAAGGAGATCTCTATAGCCCTAGATCACAAAATTCGGATTCAGCAACCATCCCACAACCACCTAAGAGTCCCCTTCAATAAGAAAATGCTCTATTCCTAGTTGATTTGCAAGTTGGATTCCTTGTACAACAAGTAGTTCAGCCCTTATAGAGTCTCCTAGACCCACAGGACTTGAATATAAAGATATGATACTACTATCTTTGTTTCTCAGCACTCCTCCTATGCCCGAAGGTCCAGGGTTACCTTGGCTGCTCCCATCAAAGTTCATCTTAATAAACTCCTCCCCAAGTGGCATCCATTCTACCACATATCTGTTCTTCTTGGTAGAAGTATTAGCCATTGCTAACCAGCATCCATAGGTCATCAAAGGAATAGGTATCAAAAAGGTTTAGTGATTTTAGCCACTGAGTTGCCCTTGTCAGAACACAATCCTAAACTTCTGAAAAGCTTATTTCCTTTTCACAAAAAAATCTGATGTTCCTCCCTTTGTGTGCCATTCAAAGGTAGACAGACTAAACAACAAGTTAATATCAGATGGCAGGTTCCACCTACACTCAAACAACACAAAAATCCAATTCAATAAAGATGCAGCAAAGGAGCAAGAGATCAGTAAGTGGTAACAGTCCTCATTCTGAGCTTTACAAAGAACACACTAATTAGGGGATAAACACCAATTTGGTCTCTTCCTTTGTAGGTTTTCAAAGGTATTAATCTTACCATAGTAGACTTCCCAACAAAAAACAACCTTTGGGGGAATGGGTCTAGTCCAAATTTCTTTAACTAGGAAACCTTGGGGTGCAGGAGTAGAGCAAAGGGATTTGAAAAAGGAGGAGCAGGTAAAGTTGCCTTTCGGATTAGTGGTCCAAATTCTTAAGTCAGGTTTAAGAGGATCCAAGAAAGCAAACTCAAGTGCTACGAACAACTTTGAGACACAAGCAGATTCATCTTCACGTAACCCTCTTCGGAACCAAAATCCCATTTTAAGGCCAAAGGAGAAACCAGGGAGGAAATAAACTTGGAAATCTAATCTTTCTTGTAAAGGGAAAGAGAGTAAAGAGAGCGAAAAAGGTCTTCAAGGGGTTGGTTGCCCACCCAAATGTCTTCTCAAAAAAGAACATTATTTCCAAAATAGACATCATACCCGACCAATCAGAGGAATTTGGGAAGGATCCCATGTATAGCCTTCCAGGGTGTTGCAAGAGCCACCCGTCGAGATACCCCCAACATCCCAACCATTCCCCAAACAGCCATGAATACTATTCACCACCTTGTGCCACATCTCTCTCCCCAAAGTCCATCTCCATAGCCATTTCCCAAGTAGAGCTTCATTCTTAAGAACTAGGTTACCTAATCCTAATCCCCCGTCTTCCTTCTACTATGTCCCACCTAATTAGATGATCCTTCTTTGCTTTCCCTGACTCCCACAGAAAATCCCTCATCACCTTTTCTAGCTTCTTCCTCCACACATTTATTTCTCCAAAGGAACTCCAGTAGTGTTTCCACAAACAAAATCCATCCCTTACTCTGTTTTCCAAAAGGGATGCAAATCAGTTGTTTTCTACTATCCCCAAACCATTCTGCCAACATGATGAACCATTCTTCAAGATTACATCTTAACTTAGCTACAAACACCTCATTCCTCTTCAATTTGTTCTTCCAATTCTGCATTTTCCTCAACACTAGTGTCTCATCCAAAAAATCTTTTATCCAGGGTTGTCGATTCTCTCGGGAGGTATACCATAGCACTTTCTCTTTGCTGATCTTCAGGTTAACCAGGTTCCTTGATTTCACCTCTTCAAACTTGAATGTTTTTGCTTCAATTGAGACTTCCTTTCTCCACCTGCCCACAAATTCGAACATGCTATCTTCCGTCTCACCCATTGCTTCACAAGGGGAACCTGTATTTAATACTAATTTTCACAAGGATGGTTAGCTGAGGTTGACCATCTATCCACTTTTTTGCACTCTAAGTTATACTGATTGATAAGATGTCCAAAGAGTCGCTGGTTGAAGTTTCAGGAAATTTAGTTTCAATATGTTTTGATAATGATATATAATATCAAAGTCATTTTTATTTCACTTTACTAATATACACGAACCAAATTTGGATCCAAATATGGTTAGATTCGGATCCAAATATACATGAAACAAATTTGGATCCACCTTATATCTGATTTGATCCAATCTGTTTGCAGCCCTACCTATCAAGCAATAGAACTTTTGGCCCAAAAGTTGGTCCAAAGGAGCTCCATCATTCATTGACAAGATCAGTTTAGGAGAAAAGTATTGTTAAATAAAGATGTAGTAAAGACTCAATAAGCCATTTATGCATGTACCTGGGAAAGAAGCTCAGGAATGAATGCCTCCAAGTCAGCAAGAGATAAATAAACAAGGCAAGCCAACTTGTCATCTACATCCCAAAAAATTTCACGCAGAACTTGCAATCTTAGATATGATGAATGACTTAAAGGCTTCATATTGGCATTTCTGAAAGCCCTCTCCATATCTTCTTTAATAACCTGTTAGAGTTCCACATTAATCAAACACCTGGTTGCAAATTAAAAACCATCAACATGTATTTTGTTTCAATTAAATCAAATCTCAAATTAAAAACCATCAACATGTATTTTGAATCTTAACAAACTGAACATATCCATCTCTGGAATCTCTCACCACCATTTTCTATGTCCAGAAATCTTTCTTTAGTGTGTTTCTTTTCGATGTAAATCCATCAAGAGAAATGCAATATGTTCATTAGATTTTTGGTACAACCATTAAATATATTTATGGATATGTTCCTATTTCCATGTTATGAATAAGATAGATGCATATTATTTTTTATTTGAGAAAAGTGAAATATGAATTGTATTGAATTTGATGATAAAAAATCCCTGTAAACAACTTGTGGACGAATGAAATGAGTTACGAGCAAGGTTAGCATTCCTTTAAACAACTTGTGGATCAAGCATAATTTTATGTTTTTTAATGAGAATGCCAAGAAAGTACAATATAACGAGCAAGGTTCAAAATATCGATACGTATCTGTAGTGAGAATGGACCGAATGGGCCTTAGTTTCTATAGTTTAATCAAGTCATGTTTTTATTTTGTTTATGTTCTTTGAGTAGTGGGCTTTAGTTATGGGCCTGCTACTTGTTTTTATTGTTTCTTTAGTGCTGGCCACTCCATTGAGGGCACTCATGGAATTGTACTTAGATTAGAATTAAAAGAAATGAAAGCTATCTATGGGGGCTAGAGAGAGAGATTGAACTATTCTCTTTTCTCTTCCCTTCTCCTTTTATCTCATCTCCTTCTTCAAACTTCTGCTAAAACTTCTCTTTCTTCTTTTCTTTTCTTCTCTTTTCTATATTTTCTGAATTATTACAGGTGTGTTTCACAACTGTATCATATCGGTTGGCCTCCCGATATGCCCCTACAGTGGGTGTTTCGGGGTCTGACCTGGTTCGGGGGGTAGACATGCCTTAAACTGATCCCTCTGAACCATATTGAAAGAAAAGCTAAAAAAAATAAGTGAAGCTCAATATTTTGAACCTTGATAATGAGAATAAAAAATGCATCCATAATGCTCTAAAGGTATATACCTTAAAACGATCAGCAGTCGGGCAAAATTTTCTGGCTACAGTCAAAATTTTTGACACCAAAATAGGAAGCTTGTCATTAAAACCATAGACCTTTAGCTCAATCTTATCACTAATGATAGACAAGGAAGTCTCCAACTTAGCTACACCAGCCTGCACATGAGAATGAAAAGTTATACATGTACAAACCTGAATACTATTAATCTAAGGGGTGAAGCAAATGAACCAATACATTTTGGAAGAATAACAAGAGACATACCAAAATAAAGGAGCAATGAACAATGACAAATGACTTATCAAATCCCATATGTAAATATTCTACTACATAAAAAATGTGTGAAATATTACACAAGTTGAATACAAAATTCAAAACAAAATGATGAATAAAATAAATAATATATATAATAAAAATTTTGGTAAATGAGAAGTTTATTTCAATTCTTCGAGTCGTCATAAATAGAGACAAAAATAATGCAGTGTCATGAATATCCTTCACAAAAGAATTGAATTGCACACCTGAACACTTTAAGCCAACAAAAATTTTAATATGTTAGTACCTAATACACTATTGGACAAATATTTAGAAAACATTTATGGGAGGCACAAAACACTACTTTAAAATGTTAGTAGGAATAGAAGATAACTTTGAAGGTCAATGCCCAATCTTGAAAGGGATGGACCGAATAAGAACCAAACCGTCAAAATAACATTTTAGCAAAAAGTGGTCACTGTCACAGTCGGATCCACATTCTAACCCTAGTCAGCCCAAGATGTTATAACTGCACGTACTGATGAAAAAGATTTTACAGTAATGGGTCCAATTCATAGGAATATAAGCATGTTGGATAATTAATCAAGGAGTTTACCTGATATAAAACCTCATTCAAGTCATCCTTCAGAAGATTTACAAACAATTCAGTCAAAACACATCTCTTTACATCGGCATAGCCTCCTTTTACAGTAATGAGAAAGTATGTATTTGCACGAGGAAGTTTGAAGGTCTCATCGAGCTTGTACCAGAACTTGATTAATGGTTGATCTAGTATGCATCTTGGGAAATGTGTATTTGCAAGATTATTTGATGAACCATTGCTGCGGATAGAAAAGTCACGTGGAATGAAGTCATTCTTCACAGGCATGTGAAGTGCTGGATCAATTTCTGGAGGATCTCTCCACAGTTCCAAGTGCGTTGGCAGAATTTCTTCTTCAGTATATTGTGATCCAAACCATGGTTCATATTTAAAATCTGAAACATACAGAACAAAAGGGCTGAATACCCTAACCATTGACTTGCAGTCATGACATACACAACATTTGAATGCTCATTATGTAAAAAATTAGTTTTATGGAATGTAAGTACAAAATATAAGGCAGCAGCACAAATAATACAAATTTCATTGTGAAACTTAAGGCTTTTCAAAAGAAGAAAAGCCAACTTTTGAAGTGTACAGTCACATGTGCAATTGAGTGAAATATTCTGTATCAAGAATAACCAACTTTTCTTCTGCATCAAGAATAACCATAATTTACCTCCACTTTTGAAGTCATTGTAGAGTCACATGTGCAATTGAGTGAAATATTCTTTCCTGTGGACTGTAATTCCATTTGCAGTCTGTTGGTGCATTTAGAAAGAAAAAATTGGAATATATTTATCAGTTGATAATGAAGAGCACTCAAGAAACAAGGTGCCGGTTGATATATACTGATTGTTATGGATTGGTCACTTGTCCATTCAGAACTCGGAGACGTCAAGAGAGAAGATACAGGACACAATTTACAGCTGGTTTTGGGTCTATGTGGGAATATGCTTGATGTGACTGGGTTTGGGTCAGTGAAAGTTCTACACCAGTTTCTATGTATTATAATTTCTTTTAATAAAATTTGAATATAAAAAAATGATAGATTTCCAAAAGGATCTCATCATGGAGGATCTGGACTTCAATTACAATTTACAAGCTTTAATATCATCTTATTTAGAAATTTTGCCCACCTGGTGGCCTTTCCTTTAGAAAATCGTGTGGATTTCAATTACAATTTACAAGCTTCAAATTCATCTTCTTTAAGAATTTTGCCCACCTATGTGTGTGTGTGTGTCTGGTCCTTCTCAATATTGCAAACTCAATAGAAAGCATCATAGAAAAGGATATAAAATAGGTATTAGGATTTAAGATAGAAGAAAAACCGCCTTTTGAAAAGAAAGGACTGTTTAGAAAGTTGCAAAAATTCTAAAGAAAGTAGAAGAAATCAGATTTTAAGAGGAGAGAAGAAGAAGAAGAAGGTGGCGACAACTAGGGTTCAGAGAGAGATTTTCGAACATAACCTTCTCTCTTACACCCTTAATTCCATTTCATTAAGTTAAACTTTAATAATTTACAGAGAGGCCCCTAGTTGGGCAGAAAATTAAGAAACATAACACAAGAAAGAATAAGGCCCAGATTAAGGCCCATTATAGCAAAGAATATAAAAAATAAAGAAGGATAAGCAACCTATGGGCCATTCGGCCAATCTTCTCTACACTCCCCCTCAAGTTGAGCACAAATGTCAATCATGCCAAGCTTGCCAGTATCATGCTGAAGTTTAGCCTTGGGAATGCCCTTGGTGAGGAAATCAGCTAACTGTCCTTCAGAGGTGAT